TTAAAATGTCGATGGTGTTGCAGTCTTTGGTGGGACTATGGGAATTACCCACTGGGCAAAATGCCTTAGCAGTATGGCTTTCTTCATAGTCCTCCTGGGAAGTCCCAGCATCAGGAAGTAAACAAAACTCTCCTGGAACATCAGCCTTGTTCGTGGAGGCCTGCTGCAATGTATTGGCATCATTAGGCAGGGAAACGTCCCGAGGATTCTGTGTCTCTGTGGGAGAGGAAATCGTGTTAGTACTGTCCATCACACCAGGAGAACAAGTTACGTCTGAATTATAGCCTTGAAGGACACACCCTGCACTGGCAGAGTCATCTTCATCTGAAGAGATGTTCTGTGCTTTTTCATTTCCAGTGCACTTTGTAACTTCCGACATGTTGGATACTGAGCCATTTTCAGACGGGTCTGTCTGAACCGCGTCCTGTTCCTTCTCAGCGAGTCCCAAGTGATTTGTGGTCGACTCCACTAACTTGGCAACAGCAGCCTTCAAGTCATCCGCTTCCTCCGTGACAGCAATGTGCTTGAGAACCTCCAACAGGGCCAATATTTCCGACGTCCTATCAGCAGTCGGATGAGCACTGCCTTTACCGATGCTGTTCATACTTCCCCTTAGTTTCAGAACCAGCAGCCACGCTAGAAGGACATTAGTGGATGGACCACACAGTGGAGAAGGGAAGGAAACATTTGCAAAGGAACCAAGCAGTTGAACGATGCCACTTTGAGTCCAGTGATCACCAGGAACTGCGACTGGCAGTTGTTGAGGCAGTGGGGCTGATCTGAGTTCTCTGGGGGCACCTCCTTCAAGGAGATCGACTTGAGTAGCAGTCTCCACTCTTAGCCCTTTTGTAGCTAGGTTGGTTTCCTGATAAAGATTTACCACTGGTCCTGACTTTTCACCAGATACTCTACCTGCAGCACTGTGATCATCAAGAACTGACTGTGGCCAAGCCCAATGTTGATGCAGGGAAAGTAAGTCGGCCTCAGTCAGAGATCCAACACAGCTTTCACAGAGCTCTTCAGGAAGTTCTTCACTGTTAGACTTCTCAAAAGATCTACCTATCTCTTCTCCTGGATTACTTCCTACCAACCTGGCCGTTTTAGTTCTCTGGCTTTTACCTTCCATGACAAATTGCTTTCCTTTCCTAGAACTTGCGTGGGAATTATTTTCTGGAAAACCACTTTCCTTTTTGTACAAGGGAGCAGGTTTTTGCTGTTGTAAGGATGAATGTGGATCTACGTTCTGCAACCATCTCTGTATATAATTTTGGACTGAGTTATGGGCACTATCCTCGGGAAAAAGAGCTCGGTCTGAAGCCAAAGAATTTGACCTAGATGCAGCGTACTGGCTTTTTGCAGTGGTAGCTGATTTTAACTTATCCCCTTTCTGTTTTTTCTGGCTTTTAAGAGTTATGTGGGAGTCGTTAACTTTTGAAACTAAACTCTTCTTTACCACTCCCCAAGAATAGCGAGAAGGCATGTCTGCTTGAGCTGAAGGCCCACAAAACACATTTGGTTTATGCTCAAGAAAGCTAAAAGCACAGAGTAATTTTTTATTTTCAAATGCACTTTTGCAATATTTCAATTCTTTATAAGGAAACACTTTGTCTTTTTGACCAACTTCTATTTTTGGAGATCCTCCGAAGCTTATTTTATTGACTTGTTTAGATTTCCTTTTGGCTAGAAGTCCTTGCATCTTGGGGTTTTGAATAGTATTTAAAGCTTTTTTATGAAAATTCTTGGAATTCACAGTATTGGGATTACTTGGGGAACAAAAATCACTCGATTCAATTACCATATCGCTTGAATGGAAATCTCCTTCACAAAGTGTCCCCCCTTTAAGGGCACTCTCTGACTCAGACAGTACAGTGCCTTGAATGTTTCTACCTCCTTTGCTTAATCTGTCATTTCTACCGGGGACTTTTTTGCAGGCAATTTTCCTATTCCAGTAGTTGGAATTTTTCATTTGTTGCAGATGTCTCGTGTTTGCTTGGTCGGTAACAGATGATGACATTTGCTTTTCATTTTTGGGAAGTGTTGTTAAACTACACTGCTCAAATTCCCGAATTAGTCTGTCTACGGTTGAGGTGACAGTAGAGAATCCTACTGGACCTGGGGTTTCAGGAATAGCTCTGTCAACTCCAGAGTTGCCACTTGAAGAATGAGTTGCGTCTGCCAAGACGGGATTGAACGTATCATCACCGCTCCCGTAAGTCTTGAAGTCCTTGATACAACCTGGGTCGTCTGGTGCCATACTGTCACTTATACCTTCCTCCACTGCTGGTTTTCCTGGTATTGCCAGTGGACAGCCCTTCAACTGGGACAGCTCTAACAGCTCCCGACTCATCCCCATAACGCCAGCACCTACCACGCTTGACTCGAGCCCGCCACTTTCCCGTTTTCTTCCGAAGGTTGACTGCACCTGCTCACCGCCCTTGATCTGAACGAGCACTGGTTTGCTAGATACCGACGACATTTTGCTGCAAGAATGTGTGAACATGTGATACTCGGATTTGTCTTCTCCTTGGGCCTGTGCAATCATTTTCTCTTGAATTTCCGTTTCGGATACGACGGTCACACTCCCTATCAGAGGCTTCTTGGGTCTCACTCTCCTCAGCGCGGGAGTAGGAGGCCTATAAAAGCGCTTGGCTTGAGCCTCAGTTCCCTGGATGGCGTCTGCATCCACAGCAGAATTCTCCCAGCTGGCTCCCTCTGGCCCGGCCACCTGAGTCTTCATCTCCTCTGTCAAACTGCTCGCCTGGTTACCGCCTTTCTCCAGAGGCGGAACAACTGGCGACAAGGAGCAAGCTGCAATCTTAAAACCAGGTGATCCATCACCTGTTCTTCCTGGGAAACTATTTATCTCACTCTTTTCATCATTATTAGGAAGTTCGGCTCGACTGACAGTGGTTGTCCATTTTATGGTTTCTTTCTCTTTTATTTTGAATCGAACTTTCATCTCAACTGTCATCGTGCCATCTTGATTAAAAATAACTGATTTCTCAATATCATCTTCAGAAGGGCCTATCAATAAATTCTGAGAATCTTCTTTTTCTAAGGCCAAATAATTTTCAGAAGCAAAAGAATGATCTGAGCAGCCATCATTATTATTCATTTTGCCAGGAGAAACGGAGAAAGTCTGGGGTTTTGAGCTTGAGGACACACATGTGCTCACTTTCAGATTTTAAGAATGAAAGATATCCCATAACAAAACACAGCATGGAAGAGAGAAAATTATAAATATCCAATAGGAGATGCAGAAAAGGGAAAAAAGTAAAAATAATTAGTATACAAAGACTTTATTTTCTAGGTTTAATAATAAAATGTACTAATATATTTATTTATGTCCACTCTATTGAATTCTGTGTAGGACCTGGTATATTTCTACAAATTACTCTTAAAATAGAATTCAAAAATCTACTTCAATGAGGAGAGTTATGGAATTTTAATCTAACGCACTTGATTATTAGGTAATTTTGCCAAGCAAGGTATACAGTAGAAATGGCTAAAGACTCCAACAAAAATTAAAAGACTTTATTTGGAATCTACACAAGTGCTGCTACTAACTCAAAGTAAAATTATACATTATTTTCTGAGGCATGACCAAAAGAGACATCAATAGCATTAAGCAAAAGTATTCTTCTAATTATTTAAAATGTTAGCTTAATCTAGAAATTATTATAATTAACATCAACTTTATACAATAGCTCATTTAAGATAAGGCACAAAAGAGAATGAGCTAACATAGGCCCAATATCTAACGTGTTTCCAGAGATAATCAGACTACTTGTACTTATTAAGTTCTCATATCAAATCCTTATGAGGAGTTTACGTTCAGGTATAAACCTAGAAATAGTGTATCTTATTCTGGCACACTTTTATCAAAATTGTAACTTAAATGTCAAGTTTAAGCTCATAATTTAAGTAAAAACAAAACCCTAAAATTCTCTGAAGATACAAAAAGGAAATTATACTCAGAATCCTCTGTCAGACACAAGCAACAAAATTATTATAGAACAGTGACTGCAGTAGAATTGCACTGCATGTGTAGTAGATATCTGACATAACTGCTTACAAAATACCAAAGTTAATGTTATATATTATTTACTGAATAAATGACAACAATAAATAGATGAGTTTTGCCCACTTCTGCATAAAATAGAGGAATTACTGTGAAAACTCACATTATTTTTTTTTAATCTAAGTAAAACAAGAACTGAAATTCAGGTACAAATGCCAATCACTACTTGATCACAGAGCTCACCTACTGGGTCCCGTGAGCCCTGATTCCCAGGAAATTTAACCTGGGCATCAAGGCATTCTCCTCCTACCCAAAAGATCACAACCCACTGTGCAACATTTCCCCAGAAGGTATGTGCCTAGATTACTGGCTACATTAATTTTTTTTTTGAGGAGTCAGGGGTTGAGTCACACCTGGAGGTCATCCCGGCAGTGCTTGAGGGAAACCATGCAAGGCCAGGAATCTACCCTGGGCCTCCTGCACGCAAAGCTATGAGCCCCTTCTTTTAAAAAAAAAAAACTAAATCATAAATCAAAGGGCCTGGGATTTTCATAGGAATAACTTCAGAAAATGGCATATTCATGTAGAGACTCTTTTATTTTTCATTCTACAAACCTGCTGAGCTCAGCTCTGCTCTTGCAAGTACAATTTAGAGAAAAATTCTGCAACTACCAGCGATGTCACTGACGCACATTCCATAAAATTCATCTCCAATCAAGAAATGGGGGCGCCTTTTATTTTTAAAATAATTAGTATGTGCGATTTTTTTTTCAAAATGCATCAATTGAAACATACGCTGCTGAGCTTTAGACATGATCAGATCATGTGTGAGACTCTTCTCAGCTATAATTATGACTAGCTTCCCGTGGGGATGCTTTAACCCGCCCCCCCCCCCCGTTTTCTCTTGGATGGTGAAGAAAGGGGTAGTTTGAGCAGAGAATTTTGTTTCTGCAGATGTAAAAGAGGATGAGGAACTTACTCTTTTTTTCGGGCCTGGCATTCCCCTTGGGAAACGCTCGGGGAGTGACTCCGAGTGCCCTCGCAGGGAGCAGGTACTTCTGGACGTCATAGTTGGCCGGTTTAAAGGGTTCTCTGCCGGCTGCCACCACAGCCCCGGAGCTCAGGAGCACGGCCTGCAGGCTAGGGACCTGGAGGAAACAGGGTTCAGGAGGAAGGAAGAAAAGGGGGGTCTGCTCCTTCCCCTGGACAATCTCATAACTCGGCGACTCCTCCGGGAACTCCAGACTTGACAGTCATCGGCAACAGCAGCAGGTCTGGACGCAGACAACTGAAGTCCCACCGCACTGGACAGAGGCTACTTCCTTCCCAGCTAGTGACCCCTGGGGAGAGCGCACTAGGGGGTCGAGGCAGAGCCTTTAGAACCCTGGGTGGACCATTCCCAGAGCTCCTGAGAGCCCCCTATGGAGGCGCCCAGCTTAATTCCCGCAGGACTGTCCCACCTCACAGTTGCTGCCGGCTGTGCAATTCCTGGAACTGACCCGGCCACGCTCTTCCCCGGAGACTCAAATTATTTTAGGGTCACCTGTTTCTCTTCTGGTGATGGGCTCAGCCTCAGCTCTAGACAGCCCAGTCCCTTCCCCACAGAGAGCCACTGCTCTCCTGCTCACGGCCTTCCAGAATTAACCCAGCGGAGAGAGTGGGATTCCCGCCCCAGAAACCCAGAGACCACCGGAAAGACAATCTGAGACAGAGCTGAGCAGGCCTGTCCCCTCTCTCCTCCCTCCCCCCTCCCTCCCTCCGTCTCTCTCTCTCTCTCTCTCTCTCCCTCTCCCTCTCCTTCCCTCTTTCTCCCTCTCCTTCCCTCCCTCTCTGTCTCTCTCTTATCTCTTTTCCTTTCCCTCTCCTTCCTCTCTCTCCCTCCTTCCCTCTCCCTCCCTTCCTTTCTCCTTCTCTCTCCCACTCCCTTCCTCCCTCTCTGTCTTTCTCTGTTCTTTGTCTCTTTCTCTCTCTCTCCCTCTCCCTCCCTCCCTCTCTCCCTCTCTATCTCTCCCACTCATTCCCTCCCTCTCTGTCTCTCTCTTGTCTCTTTGTCTGTCTCTGTCTCTCTCCCTCCCTCCCTCTCTCCTTCTCTCCTTCCCTATCTCTCTGACTCCCTTCCTCCCTCTCTGTCTCTCCCTCCTCTCTTTCTCTGTCTCTCTGTCTGTCTCTGTCTCTCTCCCTCCCTCCCTCTCTCCTTCTCTCCTTCCCTATCTCTCTGACTCCCTCCCTCCCTCTCTGTCTCTCCCTCCTCTCTTTCTCTGTCTCTCTGTCTGTCTCTGTCTCTCTCCCTCCCTCCCTCTCTCCTTCTCTCCTTCCCTATCTCTCTGACTCCCTCCCTCCCTCTCTGTCTCTCCCTCCTCTCTTTCTCTGTCTCTCTGTCTGTCTCTGTCTCTCTCCCTCCCTCCCTCTCTCCTTCTCTCCTTCCCTATCTCTCTGACTCCCTCCCTCCCTCTCTGTCTCTCCCTCCTCTCTTTCTCTGTCTCTTTGTCTGTCTCTGTCTCTCTCCCTCCCTCCCTCTCTCCTTCTCTCCTTCCCTATCTCTCTGACTCCCTCTCTCCCTCTCTGTCTCTCTCTCCTCTCTTTCTCTGTCTCTTTGTCTGTCTCTGTCTGTCTCTCTCTCTGAAGCCCCACTGAGGGTCAGTCTTACCTCCCCAGCCCCTGGACACAGCAGATCTAGGTCCAGCACCTTTCCCTGGCCACCCTGCACGCTCCTTCTCCCCCCCCAGGCCTCCCCCATCCCCACCCTGAAGAACTGAAGGACTGAAGGGCTTCTAGCTCCACTGCAAGGCACTTCCTTACCCTGTTGGGTGCAGGGTGAGGCCCTGAACCCACACAGGGGCTCAGAAGTGGTTGAAAGTCCACCTTCCGCCAACAGGGAACCGGTGTGACGGGGACACCAGGGCAGAAATGTGCATTCTTGTGGCTACCCCGGCCGAGCCCCAATCCTCCTCAAGAGACCCCCGGAAAATGCTTCGGAGTACCCAGGGCCCAGCGTGTTACCATCTGCCACCCCTCCTCAAGAAGGACGACAGGCTTAGAGCAGTGCTCAGACTGGGACAGGGAAAATCAATCGGCATGTCCTAGTGTCCTGGCGTCCACCAGGAAGGCCCACACCTGAGCAAGAGGGAGCAGAGCAGGCATTCACACCCGCACGCACGGACACCCACTGGCAGATGTGCACACACACACACGCTAGCGTGCATATGGACCCATGCCTGCTGCCACACATGCACACTCGGATGCACACTTGCACACTCGCCGCCTGGCACACCCCGGCGCCCAGACCCTCCCCGCCTGGCACTCCGGCACCGCACCCAGGCCCGGGGCGCAGCAGAGCCCCGTCCCGCGCGCCCCAGGGACCGACCTTCCTCCCGTCCGTGGCGTAGAGCCTGGCCACCGGGTACCGCACGACGTCCGTCAGGTGCTGCAGCAGCGCGTCGAAGGTCCGGGTGGCCCTCCGGCACAGGAGCACGGCGTGCCGGGTCCGGGGGTCCCCGTTCCTGAAGACCAGCAGGCGGGCCGGGGCGCGCGGCGGGCCGGCCAGGGGCGCGCGCGAAGGGGGCGGGCGCGCGGGACCCGGGTCCGGGGGCCGCACCTGGCGGCCGGGCGAGCACAGGTAGGACGCGCCGTCCTGCAGCTGCTCCAGCCGCGTGATGCCGTGCCGGCCGCGCGGGGTGCTGATGCTGCGCACGCCGAAGGCCAGCGGCACCTTCCCCGACAGGCTGTCCAGCAGGGCCTCGAAGGTCTTCACGGCCCGCGGGTTGACCACCACCCGGACCCCGCCGAAGTGCGGGTCCCCGCTCTTGTAGACGCGGATCCGCTTGGCCACCACGGGCTGCGCGACCCCCGGCGCGCGCGGGGTCGGGACTGGCGCGTCCGAGGGAAGGCGGCGGGGCGTGGAACAGCCCCTGGAAGGGGCGTCGCTCATTTTGCAGGACCTGAGAGGGAGGAAGAGTTTTCATTTCCAGATAACTGCACCCCCCCAAAAAAAATTAAATTAAATTAAAAACATTTATTTTTTTTTCAATATAAAATAAAAACGTTCATGCAAGTCAGTCCAGTGTGACGTTCTAGTTACTCCCAGGATTTCATTCTTTCTTTATAACGGCCTGTTCGGAAAATTAGTTTTAAGGGAGCTGCAGGAAGGAATATGGGCAGAAGTTCAATAAGGCTATTTACAATTCAAAGATGGTACTCAAAAGACACGAATAAGGGCCCATGTCAGTAAGTTCATGTATATATTCAGATATATACTTGCCTTGGAAGACTGCACAAGCATCATCGCTGGGTTTTATAGTTCTGTATTTATAACTGAAAAGTGGTCATTCAAAGCCAATTTGTGGAATAGAGTCACTGCGCCATCTGTTTACATGAGGACACACTTGTAAACCAAACAAAAGGAATTCCTGTAGTACACACGGCCCAGTGTGAGACGTTCTGGGAGCAGAACCAAATTAGTGGATCTTTCTAGTTGCCAAGAGTGACCTAACTAAAGAAGACCACCTCTCATTTGCCAGAGAGAGAGAGAGAGAGAGAGAGAGAGAGAGAGAGAACAGAGGATAAAACATATCCCGAGCACAGCCAGGGATAAGCCCTGAGCACCGATGAGAGTGACCACAAAACAAAACAAACAAAAAAGACCAATCAGAAATCAGTCCATAAGAAAAGAGGATTTTGCAGTGGATCAGTATCCTTCTGCAGGGAACTGTCCAGCACAAAGTGGAGGAGTGAGGATGCGAAAAGTTAAACCCGGGGTTGGAGCGATAGCACAGCTGGTGGGGTGTTTGCCTTCCACGTGGCCGACCCAGGTTCGATTCCCAGCATCCCATATGCCCCCCCCCCCCCCGGAGCACCACCAGAAGTAATGAGCCAGAAGTAACCCATGTGCATCGACGGGTGTGACCCAAAAGCAAAAAAAAAAAAAAAATTAAACCTCAGGGCCAGAGCGATAAGACAGCAGGTAGGGTGTTGGCCTTACATGCGGCAGGCCAGAGTTTGATCCTCGGCATCCCATATGGCCCCCCAAGAATCACCCGGAGTAATTTCTGAGTGCAGAGCCAGAAGTAACCCCTGAGCATTGCCAGGCATGACTCAAAAAGAAAAAAATGTTAAAATTCAGTATCTCTTGAATGGTACCCAAGAGTTCATCTCTCACACAGTTTCCCAATGTTAAATTCTAGTAAGACTGTGTCATATCGATCCTTAAACAAGGACTGTATTAAGAGTGAAAGATGTTTGCTTCGCAGATAAATCTTTTAACATAGTACTAGTCCTACTTTGGGAAATGCTGCCTTACACAAAAGTTGAATGAATGACAGCATTGTCCTAAGCTGGTTCTCCCAGAGCGGTCTAGAGGAGGGTGGAGACTGGAAGGCACCATGGTGCTCTAGTGGTGATTCTTGACCAACTGAACCTGTAGTTTAATGCAGAGGGCTGAGGAATCGGGGCAGGAGTGCCCTGTGGGGGCAGCAGATAATGTCACTACCTGGTGGTATTCAGGATGCCACACTCAGCAATGCTTGAAGGACCACCGGGGTCGGCCACACACATGGCATGTGCTATTTGGCCCTGTCCTTCTCTCCAGCCCTCCAGAATGATTTTAAAACAAAATCTTCAGGAAGGGATTGTAAGAGCCATTTCCTGCCAAACCTGGAGGTTTCCTTCTTTCATTTCTCAGTGACTGACAGCTGAGTGGCTTGTGGACGGCTTATGTGGGCTTGTCTGCGCGTGGAGCATATGGTGGCCACTACATTGCTTTAAATCCACATACTTATTAGTGTCTTTGACAGATTAAGAGTGCCCTGCAGCCTTGAAACAAGGCTGAACCAACTAGAGACATGCCATTCTTCTATTACAGAGAAGAAAAAGGCATGTTTGTCAGTAGAAGTCAGCGATAAATCCAGCCCAAATCACCCACTTAACAGTCTGCAAGCTGTTAGCTAAAATTCTTCATCTATCCCTTAGCTGACTCGAAGTCTTTATGTATAATTTAGGAAAATGCATTCAAAGATCACCCTGGAAATATGTCTTCCCTACTTCCTCCCCTAGTGGAAGAAAGTAATTATAGTACTGAAGCCACCAAAGGCAACTGTAGTAAGATACATCAGGAGCTGGGAACCCATCTTGCAACAGAGTGGGCAAGACAACCTTCTCATCCTCCACTGACCGGAACTACACTCTGACCTTGGAAAAGCTGCTTAATCCCCACGCTCTTTCCAACCCTAAGACGGATGAGTTAATTCCATACTTAAATAAAGAACTTTCGAATTCTACTGTTATCTATCTACCTTTTGAAAACGGGCTCTCTGGCATACTGAAAGTAGACTATAGACCGAACATGATTGCCACTCTTTTGCAAACCACAACACCCAAGAGGAGAGAGAGAACAAAAGGGAATGCCCTGCCACAGAGGCAGGGTGGGATGGGGGAATGGGGGGAATGGGGGGTGGGAGAGATACTGGAATCTATGGTGGTGGGAAATGGGCACTGGTTGGACGGATGGGTATTCGACCGTTGTATAATTGAAACCCAAGCACAAAAATTTTGTAAGTCTACAACTGTACCTCATGGCGTCTCACTAATAAAAATTTTTTTAAAAGTTAAAAAAGAAAAAATGTCAGAGCCATTTGATATGAACATAATCATGTTGGAAGGTATCATACATTTCAGAAGTATCTATTCAGGAGCTCTAAAAACCAATGCTCATTCTGCAAGAAAAGCACATCTCAGATCTAAAAGCAAGTTGGCATAGACTTTGTTTTATTTGCAAGTGCTTTTTTAACAATTTGTGTGCTGATCAATTATCAAGTCCCAACAACTAAAATTAAAAACTTTAAATTAAATTTTGATCAAAATTGTAAGCCATTTTTCAAAACTTATATTTGACTTGACTTGACTTCAAGACTTAAAAAAAAAACAACAATGTCTGCATGAAACTGCCTCCATTCTAAGGAATCGTTGCCATGATATAGGGAATTTGGGAGAGCATAATACATTCCCTGCAAGTACTATCCCAAGATCCCATATCTGACAAGACTGAGAGAAACATGAGGCTGAAAACCAACATTCCTCCTTGTGCTCAGCAAAGGAGTCTAAACTAGAATTAATCTCATTTTTCTGCAACATATTTATGAATTTTTAAAAAATGCTGATTTCCCTTGTTTGAAATTTTTTTTTAAAAGGGCTCTCTTACACATTTATTTGAAAACATTTTATGTGAATGGGTTTTCTGGTTGTTCTTAGGTTTTGAGCTTTTGCTGTTGTTTGGGGGGTTTTTGTTTTGTTTTAGGTGCGGGGTTTGATCCGGCTGCCGTGCTGAGATCAAACCTGGGGTCTCACCTATGTTACCCTACATAGATGCTCTGTTGCCAAGCCTGTGAATAGTTTCTTTGAAGACACAATTCCCAGCCTGTGAATAGTTTTACAGACACATTTCTCTACCTATCTTAGGAAAATTATATTTATCTCTAAGTAAATGCATTGTGAAGCTTTTTATTTCGGTGGTTTTTCTGCTTGTGCTCTCTGAAGGCTGTTGAGCTGGACCACTACATGGAGGAGAAAGTGAGCAGCCGACGCTGAGGGGTTTTGTTTTGGAAGGGGATAAGGTGGGACCTAACTAGGCCCGCTCGAGCAAATCGAAGAACAGCGGGAGGACAGTGACAGTGACCAGGAGAAGGAAGATTTGATGCTGAACCAGGAGAAGGACAAAGGGTTGAAGAGAAGAGGAGACCTCGTAGTCCCTGCCTTACCTCTGCTGTCCCTGAGCTCTCGGTTTTAGCTTCCTACTGGGTGGGGTCATTCGTTGAAGCCCAGCAGTGGGGAAACAATTTGCAGAACAAGTACCTGCCTCAGCGAGATAGATGCACTGGATTAGGGAAATAGCACAGCGGTAGGGCGTTTGCCTTGCATGCCTTGCACGAAGCCAGCCCGGCCGGCCACCGAGCCAGGTTCGATTCCTCTGCCCCTCTCGAAAAGCCCAGCAAGAGTATATACTGAGAGTATATTCAATATGCCAAACACAGTAACAACAAGTCTCAAAATGGAGATTTTACTGGACCTGCTCAGCAAATCGATGAACAACGGGAGGACAGTGTTTGACAGTGTTTGACAACAAAACACTAAGACAATAAGTGTGTGAGGATCTCTGCTTGCTCCTTAAAGGTCCTGGAGGAAGCTCTGTGTGTGTGTGTGTGTGTGTGTATGTGTGTGTGTGTGTGTGTGTGTGTGTGTGTGTGTTGGTAAAGATTCAGTTTCACCATTGAATGAAAGGATGTTTGTGCCGGGGCTGGAGCAATAGCACAGCGGGTAGGGCGTTTGCCTTGCATGCGGCCGACCTGAGCACTGCCAGGAGTGATTCCTGGGTGCAAAGCCAGGAGTAACCCCTGAGCATCACCAGGTGTGACCCAAAAAGCAAAAAAAAAAAAAGGATGTTTGTGCCTTACTAAGCTCAGTAACTGTATCGGGAAAGAGGGTGCAGGTCACAACCTTTCCAGGGGAAGTGGGTCAGTCTTTGCCGTGACATCGTTGTATGCATCTCTGTATCCTCCGTGGAAGTCACAGTCATTCAGTAGCACAACTGAGGAATATTAGCTGAGGGTTGTGCACATCTGGGGCCTGGGGGCATGGTGGAGGGGCTGGTGGGGCCAGGAAGAGATTTCATCTGGAGACCAAAGTCTGCAAAGCTGAGGTGTCTGAGGCCGAGAGGCAGAGGAGAGAAGCCCCAAGGAAGAAACAGATTCACTGACGAAGAACAGTGAGCACGAGGCAAACGCAATCATAGAGCGGGTAGGGTGTTTGCCTTGCGTGCTGTCAGCCTGGGTTCAATCCTCAGCAGCCCCAAGTCCCTCCAGAGGTGGTCCCTGATACAGAGCCAGGAAGAAGCCCTAAGTCCTGCTGGGTGTGCCCCAAATACTTAATTAATTAATTAGT